ATCAAAAAGAGATTTGACTAGTCTAGATGAAGAAAAATCGAGTTTGTTGAGGCAACAGATTATGAACTTGTCAGACGAAAGCAACAATATCTGCCAGTTGATAAGTAAGTTCTTGGTAGCTAGTTTGACAGTTTTTTTAAATCGAAAGCGTAAAGACCCCCAGCTTTGAGATACCTTTTTTCAAGTAGTTCAGATACAAACCACGGCAGCTTATTGTAGAATACCACCTACACTGGACCACCACGTTTGAAATATCTTTTTCAGGTAGTTCAGACAGAAACCACGACAGCTTATTGAAGAATACTACTACACTGGACCATCAAGTTTGAGATATCTTTTTCAGGTAGTTCAGACACAAGCCACAACAGCTTATTGTAGAATACTACCTACAATGTACCCCAGTAAGTTTGTACCAAACATTTTCTTCTTATAGGAAAGCGTATGTACACTTGTCTGATGAGCAACATGCTTCGACCCACCGCCTCAAATTCTACCACAGTGACAGTCCCTGCAGCGCTGTCAGACATCGAAAATGAACTACTTGATATAACCAAGAAATTTGGACCTATTGTCTCACATAATTACGCTGTATTTCAACCGTTTTATGAAGAAATCTTAACGAATATTCCATCGTAATTGCATGCATGAAAATACTGCATGTTCCAATTATCTACCGAGCGCGCCCACTAGAATACTAGCGCGCCCACTAGAATAAATCTGGTATTTCCGCGCACCCATGTATTATTCTCTATATAATTACAGTAATACAGTATATATATAACGCTGCATATATTTCGAAGCAGTTTATTTTAGGTATTTATTATGAAGCTAAGCTGTTTATAACCAAGCAGTACATTCTGTAATTTTACTATATAAATACATGTATAAATATTACAATATCCAAAGCATAAATTAAAGCTTTTGGCGACTTAATTTTTTGATGAGGGATTATGTAGATATGAGTGTAGTTACCACCCAGTGAATATAGAACTGCTAGTCGAGTGGTAGTCTCTTGCGTGGTGTTGTGTGAGAAACAAGTACGGATTGATCCGAGACGAGAAAGAGTGAAGTAGCATAAAAAAGGAGTTAAAACATGTGTAGGCGAGATGGTCTAGTGGTAAAGACAAAGTGTTGCAAGTGCGGGTAAAGACAAAGTGTTGCAAGTGCGTAAAGCCAGGATCGATTCCTGGTTGTGTCGAAAGCATGGTTGTTAATTAATTCCACCCGAGACGAGAAAGAGTGAAGTTGAATAAAAAAAGGAGTTAAAGCATGTGTAGGCGAGATGGTCTAGTGGTAAAGACAAAGTGTTGCAAGTACGTTAAGCCAGGATCGATTCCTGGTTGTGTCGAAAGCTTTTTAATGTCAGACATCGTTAATTAATTCCTCCCGAGACGAGAAAGAGTAAGTATAGAATAAAAAAGGAGTTAAAGCAAGTGTAGGCGAGATGGTCTAGTGGTAAAGACAAAGTGTTGCAAGTGCGTTAAGCCAGGATCGATTCCTGATTGTGCCGAAAGCGTTTTAATGTCAGGCATGGTTGTTAATTAATTCCACCCGAGACGAGAAAGAGTGAAGTAGCATAAAAAAGGATTTAAAACATGTGTAGGCGAGATGGTCTAGTGGTAAAGACAAAGTGTTGCAAGTGCGTTAAGCCGGGATCGATTCCTGGTTGTGTCGAAAGCTTTTTAATGTCAGACATCGTTGTTAAGTAATTCCTCCCGAGACGAGAAAGAGTTAAGTAGAATAAAAAAGGAGTTAAAGCATGTGTAGGCGAGATGGCCTAGTGGTAAAGACAAAGTGTTGCAAGTGCGTGAAGCCAGGATCGATTCCTGGTTGTGTCGAAAGCATGGTTGTTAATTAATTCCACCCGAGACGAGAAAGAGTGAGGTAGAATAAAAAAAGGAGTTAAAGCAAGTGTAGGCGAGATGGTCTGACTAGTGGTAAAGACCACAAAGTGTTGCAAGTGCGTAAAGCCGGGATCGATTCCTGGTTGTGTCGAAAGCTTTTTAATGTCAGACATCGTTATTAATTAATTCCTCCCGAGACGAGAAAGAGTTAAGTAGAATAAAAAAGGAGTTAAAGCATGTGTAGGCGAGATGGTCTAGTGGTAAAGACAAAGTGTTGCAAGTGCGTAAAGCCAGGGTCGATTCCTGGTTGTGTCAAAAGCATTTTAGTGTCAGACATCGTTGTTAATTAATTCCACCCGAGACGAGAAAGAGTTAAGTAGAATAAAAAAGGGAGTTACACCATGTGTAAGGGAGGTGGTCTAGCGGTAAGGATGAAGTGTTGCACGTGTGAGAAGCTAGGTTCGATTCCTCGATGTGTTGAAATCATTTTGGGCAGGGAAAGGTAGGAAACATAATTGTACGTCTTGTTCGATTATACATGCAGCTGGAAAAACCTTTTTTTATCTCCACGGGACGTCTAAGTCTCTGCTATAAGGGCCTTGAAAGTCGATAGAATATCAGGTTCGAAACCGCATTATATTAACTTTCACGTCTTATTCGATTATGCACCTGGAATAACCTGCTTTGTATCTTCATGGACTGTCTTTTGATGCACGAGTAAGGCATCGATAGAAAGCTTATGGACCGTAGATTCCAAAAATACAATTTTCAGACCGTGACAAATTCCAGTTTCTGCTGCAGAGGCCTTGAAATTCAATAGAACGCAAGGTTCGAAACCGCATAATATTAACTTTCACGTCTTATTCGATTATGCACCTGGAATAACCTGCTTTGTATCTTCAGGAACTGACTTTTGATGCACGAATAAGGTATCGACAGAGAGCCTATGGACCGTAGATTCTAAAAATACAATTTTCGGACCGTGACAAATTCCAGTTTCTGCTGCAGAGGCCTTGAAATTCAATAGTACATCAGATTCGAAACCGCCAAACCCTAACCCTCACTTATAAAATATTAACTTTCACGTCTTTTTCGATTACACAGCTGGAAAAACCTGCTTTTTATCTTTACGCCCGGCCTAGTGATGCACGATAATATTAACTTTCACGTCTTATTCGATTATGCACCTGGAATAACCTGCTTTGTATCTTCAGGAACTGACTTTTGATGCACGAATAAGGTATCGACAGAGAGCCTATGGACCGTAGATTCTAAAAATACAATTTTCGGACCGTGACAAATTCCAGTTTCTGCTGCAGAGGCCTTGAAATTCAATAGTACATCAGATTCGAAACCGCCAAACCCTAACCCTCACTTATAAAATATTAACTTTCACGTCTTTTTCGATTACACAGCTGGAAAAAACCTGCTTTTTATCTTCTATGCCCGGCCTAGTGATGCACGAATGAGGCATCACAAGAAAGCTTATTGATCGTAGATTCCAGAAATACTACTTTCAAGCCAGCCCAAATTCGAGTCTCTGCTACAAGGGCCTTGAAAATCGATAGAACATCAGGTTCCAAGCCGCATAGTATTAACTTTCACGTCTTTTTCGATTATGCACCTGGAATAACCTGCTTTGTATCTTCAGGAACTGACTGTTGATGCACGAGTAAGGTATCGACAGAGAGCCTATGGACCGTAGATTCTAAAAATACAATTTTCGGACCGTGCCAAATTCCAGTTTCTGCTGCAGAGGCCTTGAAATTAAATAAAAACATCAGATTCGAAACCGCCAAACCCTAACCCTCACTTATAAAATATTAACTTTCACGTCTTTTTCGATTACACAGCTGGAAAAACCTGCTTTTTATCTTTACGCCCGGCCTAGTGATGCACGAATGAGGCATCGCAAGAAAGCTTATTGATCGTAGATTCCAGAAATATAACTTTCAAGCCAGCCCAAATTCAAGTCTCTGCTACAAGGGCCTTCAAAATCGATAGAACATCAGGTTCCAAACCGCATAGTATTAACTTTCACGTCTTTTTCGATTATGCACCTGGAATAACCTGCTTTGTATCTTCATGGACTGTCTTTTGATGCACGAGTAAGGCATCGATAGAAAGCTTATGGACCGTAGATTCCGAAAATACAATTTTCAGACCGTGACAAATTCCAGTTTCTGCTGCAGAGGCCGTCAAATTCAATAGAACGCAAAGTTCGAAACAGCCTAACCCTAACCCTCACTTATACAGGGTGTATAAAAAAAAGGTAATCGAACTTTTGCGCGCTATTATGCGTGAATTACTCGGCGTATGAACAATTGGTTTTCATATTTGGAAAGATCAGGCTTTTAGCTATTGAATGACATGCTTTCCATGCCAAGAGGAGAAAAAGTAAGCATGTACGAGGCCGGTTAAAAATGTTAGTCAAAATCGCATATTTTCACCTCTGTGCCTAATTAAAACAATGCATAACAAAAGAAAAAGCAATTAATCACGAACATGTCGTAGCTTAGCTAAGATTTATTCCTACTTAATAATAATTATGAATATGTGCGTAGTTTAATGAAGTGAAATTCATCAACTTAAGTACCAAAGGGGGTTCATTTTCAATGGTCTTAGACCCAACGCTCAATGGTGAAAATATGCGATTCTGACTAACATTTTTTATCGGATTCGTATTTGCTCATTTTTTATCCATTTGGCATGTAGAAGATATCATTCAACAGCTAGAAGCACGATCTTTCCGAATGTGAAAAATCTCGTTCATACGCGGAGTAATTCGGATATCATAGCGCGCTGAAGTTCGATTACCTTTTTTTTGATACACCCTGTATAATATTAACTTTCACATCTTTTTCGATTACACAACTGGAAAAAACTGCTTTTTATCTGCACGTACGGCCTAGGGATGCACGAATGGGGAATCTACAGAAAGCCTACGGACCGTAAATTCCAAAAATACAATTTTCAGACCGTGGTAAATCCAAGTTTCTGCTACAGGGGCCTTGAAATTCAATAAAACATCAGGTTCGAAACGGCATAATATTAATGCATACACTTGTTGAGGCCGAAAATGAGTTTTAGACAACTTCGTCCTTACCACTAGACCATCTCGCCTACACATGCTTTAACTCCTTTTTTATTCTACTTAACTCTTTCTCGTCTCGGATGGAATTAATTAACAACGATGCCTGATATTAAAATGCTTTCGGCACAGTCAGGAATCGATCCTGGCTTTACGCCCTTGTAACACTTTGTCTTTACCACTAGACCATCTCGCCTACGCATACTTTAACTACTTTTTTATTCTACTTCACTCTTTCTCGTCTCGGGTGGAATTAATTAACAACGATGCCTGACATTAAAAGGCTTTTGACACAACCAGGAATCGATCCTGGCTTCACGCACTTGCAACACTTTGTCTTTACCACTAGACCATTTCGCCAACACATGCTTTAACTCCTTTTTTATTTTACTTCACTCTTTCTCGTCTCGGGTGGAATTAATTAACAACCATGCCTGATATTGAAAAGCTTTCGACACAATCAGGAATCGATCCCGGCTTCAAACACTTGCAACACTTCGTCCTTACCACTAGACCATCTCGCCTACGCATACTTTAACTACTTTTTTATTCTACTTCACTCTTTCTCGTCTCGGGTGGAATTAATTAACAACGATGCCTGACATTAAAAGGCTTTTGACACAACCAGGAATCGATCCTGGCTTCACGCACTTGCAACACTTTGTCTTTACCACTAGACCATTTCGCCAACACATGCTTTAACTCCTTTTTTATTTTACTTCACTCTTTCTCGTCTCGGGTGGAATTAATTAACAACCATGCCTGATATTGAAAAGCTTTCGACACAATCAGGAATCGATCCCGGCTTCAAACACTTGCAACACTTCGTCCTTACCACTACACCATCTCGCCTACACTTGCTTTAACACCGTTTATTTATTTCTTTAAAATAGACGAAAAATTGCCAAAAAGTCATAAAGATTAACCTTTTAAGTTTTCGCTCATTTTTATCATTTTTTTATTTCTGAAAAATAGGCCAAAAACTTAAGCTCTTAAATTGTTGTCCTTTTAGAGCGTTTATTTATTTCCTAAAAATAGGCCAAAAAAAGTCTAACCCCTTCAATTACGGCAATAATAGTATAACAAAATTTTAGTTGTTAAATAGAGAAAATATAATATAATTGTATTGTCATGCAGTATAAACTGATTTACGAAATCATGGCATTTTATACATGCATGGATAACACTTAATATTCAATAATATATCGTAAATCGGTATGTGTTTTTCGGTTTATTACTTCTCAGGGCCGTATCAACCGGGCGGGGGGGGGGGGATGGGGGAGGGGCAGCTGCAGCCCCCCTAATAATTCGCTAATAATCATTCTTTTTTTCAAAATCATGCAGACCTTTATAATTTAAATCATGAATAGAGAACAGGTGTGCAATATTAATGGGCAATCTTCCTCTCCTAAAAAGATTATAACCGGTGTGCCGCAGGGCTCTATTCTAGGACCATTGCTTTTCTTACTCTACATAAATGACCTACCAGAGTGTCTCAGTAAAACTACTCCCCGCTTATATGCTGATGACACCCAGATATTTGCATTTTCTACTGTATATGCAGATCTAATAGAGAAATTAAATTACGATTAAAAACCAAATTAGTAAATTGCTCGCTATAAATAAATTACAACACCACCCCACCCCACCAAATCGAAGGTAATGATCATTGGATCGGCACAAAATCTAAAAGAAAAGGTTCGAGATTCCCCAGTAATGCTGAATGGGAAAACGATCTTTTCAACCGACTCCTTTGAATGCTTAGGAGTGATAATTGATAAAAGATTACTCTGGGATAAACATATTGAGAACATATGCAAAAAAGTGGGCGTTGGAATAGCAGTTATGAAACGAATCAAGCCGTTTGTCCCTATTGAAACTATGAGATTGATTTATAACGCCCTTATACAGTCATATTTTGATTACTGCTCTCCTCTATGGGATAATTGTTGTGCTTATTTAAAAGAAAAACTTCAAACATTTCAAAATCGCGCGGCTAGAATAATTGCCGGTGCTAGTTATGAAATTCCATCGGCTGACGTTCTTGAAACTCTTGGTTGGGAAGCACTAGAAGTGAGACGTAACATGAATAAAGCAATCTTAATGTATAGAATTTTAAATAATCAAGGTGTATCGAGTTTGAAAGAATCGTTCACTAGGATTAGTGCTCTGGAAATTGATTATAATCTTAGAAATTCGAGTACTGATTTGGTTCTCCCACATCCCAAAAGAGAATTCCTCAAAAATAGCTTTAAATTTAGCAGGGCGAAACTTTGGAATAGGCTCCCTTTGCAAGCAAAACTAGCTCAATCTGAATATACCTTTAAAATGAATATTAATAGTCTTGATACATAACTTACTTATTTCTTCGTAATCTTGTAAATATCTTGTAAATATTCTTGTAAATAACTTTATTTATTCAAGTGTGTTCCGACGCCTCTCATGGAAACCAGCTTGTAGCTGATGAGGCTAGCGTCGGTTTTTTTTCCTTTTTGCTTTTAAATAAAAGTTTACATACATACATACATACAATTGATTAATTTTAAGTGGCTACATTATCCATGACAAACACATACTTTCCTGCAACTTCTCCAATATACAGTTAATTAAATACGCCTTTGCCCATTTAGTACTACAAAATTGTAAGCAAATTGTAAATTTTAACATACTAAAACGCTGTTTTCTGACCATCAGAAATCTGTCAAAACTTCCCCATTAATATGTCTGTGCGTAAAATATGCGTATTTTTGTGTGTAAATCTCGTCTTCGGATAGCAACTACACCTTCGTGGCTTCGTATGCCATGAAATATTCGGAAATTTTTGGCCTACACCTCCCCTCCCCCCCCCCCAACTATACATGCTAGCTACGGCCCTGATGGTATTGAACTTTATTCAACAGCTCTACCAGGCGTTAAAACATTGGTTGGTCACGGACATTGTCCGACCCATTCGTGAAATTGTCCGTGACGTAGAGAGGAAACCACCGGACATTCTGTCCGTCAAAGTGAAACTGAGGTTTATTAATTGGTTGTCCGACCCGAGTGTATTGGTGTCCGACCGAACTGTAGCTTTGTCCGACGTATAAATCAAAATGTACTCTAGCCCAGGACTAGATGCTTGTATGTTAAATGGAAAATCAGAGCACTATTGTATACAAGGTGAACTGGAGATATTGTTTTAACGTAGTCGAGCGCGGGGCGGCGAGCGAAATGTTAAGTTGTCGAAGTCTTTTTTAACACTGCTGTTCTGGCAAGCAAGTTAACTTTGCCTTTGGCTTGGAAATAAGTACGAAAGAAACAAATTATTTAATATCTTTACAACATTTACCGTTTATTCATTTGTGTCATTCAGACTTATTTCCGAGTCAAAACTGAACTGAAGGTCATCGAACATATGTCCGACCCAAACTCAACGTCACCGAACATTTTGTCAGACGGCCCTGTAAAATATATTTTAAGGCCTGGCCTCTACATTATGATAAATGATCAAGAAACAACAGTCAGGCTTTGCAAGAACATAAAATGAAATAAAAACCTAATTAAAGCATTTATATCATGGCAGACCGGACTGTACCCTATCTTTAAGGCACCCCCTTACCATTGGCGGTGCCACGCTCCAGGCTTCAGAATTTGGGGGCATTTGAGGGGCAAACTCATATTTGGGGGGGTGGGGGAGATATAATTTTTAAAAAGGTACTGCTATTTGCCCATGCCTTTGTCACAGGACTTTCGCCCCTCCCCAGAAGATTCACCCCCCTCTCAAAAGGGGGGCGAATACCCTAGGAATATCGCCCCTCTTTAGGATATTCGCCCCTCATATATGCGATGTGGTTTATTCAAATAATTTTGTGTTAACCCATCGAGTCGAATTGCACCCCGATGCGCCCTACTTTATTATTTATGCTGTTTAACGCCAGATGAGTTTACTTGTCAAGGGGAGAACGGTGCCGCTTAATGGTTAAAGTTTATTCACTTATTTAGCTTTGCCAACTAGGGCAGGGTCACCACAACAGCATATGCCAATTACTGTGGGCCCTTTTACCTAACCCACTTTTCCTCCCTGTGGGAGGAAACCGGAGTACCCGGGGAAAACCCACGACTTTCGGCAGAGCGTTGACTTTTACTCTTTTCACACGAGGACTGGGTTCGAGTCGCATTTGAGAAAGTTCTCACTGAGGCTTTAACCTGCAACCTCAGAGGTGAAACCAAGTGCGCTAAACACTTGGCACCCAAAGTTGGTACACTCATCAAAACTTTATTCTGTTAATACAGATATAGAGCTTGAAATGCCCCCTGTAACAATTTGTTACTGTCAACTCTCATTCTTTAATTGAAGAAAAATCAATGACTTACAAGCATGTTTCATATTATGCACAAAAATGAAAAACCAAAATAAAAAACAGTGTCTGTGTTTGGGACCTCTTGGTTACTGGGTTAAATTCCCATGTGCACTGTCTTAAAAGGAACAGGAATCATAACAACCCTACAATAACAATTACACACATTACACAACAAATGTTTATTTTAGATTATCTGTTGTGAAGCTAAGCTGTTTAAAAATGCAGTACATTCTCACTGTAATTTTACCATATAAATATTACAATATGCAAAGCATAAATTAAAGCTCACAGAAGTGGTTAATATCAATTTTTATTCATAAATCCTATCCAAGGTGGCTTACTAAAAGTCCTGGTAGACTAAATAATTTAGAGCAGCAACTTAATTTTCTGATTTCTGGCGGACTCTTTGCAAAATAGTGGGTACATCCTCGGGTAGAAGAATTTGCATCACAGACTACGTCATCAGTTAGTTATAGCGATTAGTTTTGAGGTTAGGGTAAGGGTTAGGGTAAGGGTTAGGGTGAGGGTTAGGGTGAGGGTTAGGCTTAGAGATAGGGATTTGGTTATATCTGACGCCACAAACAACACAACTAGCCGATCACGTGATCACTTCTCCTCTACCCGAGGAACTACCCAAAATAGTGGGGTCAGGATAAATTGCAGTTCAACTTTAACTATAACATATGCAGATCAAAATATTCAACTGTTCAATCATCGTTTGAATACGCACAAAGTTGCTCAAAGGAACAATTAGTTTCCGTACAGTTGACTCGCTTTAAATTAGAAGATATATTCCCTTAAGCTTTCTTTATTTTGCTTTGCACAGAAGACAAAATATGCCAGTACACATGATAGTTCCATTGAGGCTATAATTCGTGAAGCACAGATAATGAGTGAACAGTTCAATACTTTGACTGTGGAAGCATTAAATATACGCATGTCAAAGTTTGACATCCAGTCTCAGATGCAGTACATGTGATGATTCAACTGCAATTTATCCTGATGCAGACCCAGGGCTTAAAAAAACACAAATGCTGTACGAGGTTGTACGTTTGTACTAAGTTAACCTATGTTTAATCGATGTTGACGTACAGTATGATTTTGTATAGTAGTTCTTGTATAAAATTCCTGTATAAAAATGGAGCAGTGGACTCGATGTTTCTAGATCAATGTTTCATAAATATATGGATATTTCAGGACCAGGGTTAGAGACAAATGTATATTCATTGTCTGAAGGATTTCAAGGCAAACAGAAATTGTACAATTGTACATGTACACCTATTTTTTAAGCCCTGGCTTATACTAAGGGTTGCATTATCGGTACCAGTGATTAAGAAGTGTGCTGAGCTCTTGCTATAAATATATACATACATAACTACAAAAATAGTTTACAGTACTATAATACAGGTAATAGTTACAGTCTGACTAGAAAGCAAGTACTAGTAATGTTCGAAACATGAAAATAACAATATGAAAACATGAAAATAGTTTACTATGATACAGGTAATAGTTTACGGAAGTAAGGCCAAAAAATAAATAGTTGATTTCAGATTCCACGCTATAAATACTACACCAAAAATCATGGACTTAATTGTCCTATTTGTACATTGATTATTACAATTATCAAAACCTGAAACCAACATTATTTTCTTTTTGGCCATAGAAAGTCCAAACTCTGTAATTATCTTGCTTTGCTGATTGACGACCTCTTCTCGTTTGGTGATTCAGTTTTTACCGCTTGCTCTGGGACGATCAGCGAGAAAAACAAGTTCATGAACTGTCCGGTTCTGACACTGGTCTCGCTGTACGAATTATCCACATCGAAAAATGTAAAAATGACCCCACTTGCATCTACCGATGAGGATGCATTGATGGCATAACATGTCCGTGGACCCTCGAGAAGCGCAGCAAGCGTGTACCTTGTACCAATCTTGACTTCGACCGGATCGTTAAAAAACACGTCAAAAACGTACAACCCTTTTTCTTGGTAGTTCATGACCTTTGAGGAAAAGTCACCTTCTTTCGAGCCAACAACTTCATTGTTATTGTCGCTAATATCCAATTTGACTTTATATTTCTCACCTGTGTGCTCGCCAAACAATCGAACGCCGTGGATCATGATTCTCTTGTTCACAGTAAAGGCTATCCGATCCGGCAGGCCCGAGTTATCACGATCTTTTACCAATGGGAGGTAGTACTTCGCCTTGGCATCAGAGTAGCGATTACAGATGAAAATCTCCCAACGTTTCTTACGCTGTTTCTTTGAGAAGCGTTGCTCTTTCATGAGGTTTTTGAACATAAGAAACACGTGAACAGTAGTTTCATGTGGGAGCAGGTTAGTTTGGACAACATCGCGGGCAAAGCGATCTTCGCCGATGACCGGGTAACGAATCAAGTCGAGCGCATCCCCCAGCACCTTTCGCTTCTCCTCCGGGGTGACAGAAACACCAAGTTGTCGGCATTGGTATTCGGCCCAGCGTGAGCACGCTTTGAAGAGGGTGATTTCTTGCACGTCGAGGGTATCTCGACTTAGCAAATCTTTGAGGATACTGTGGGGCACGCGGACAAACCCATCACTGGTCAGAGCTTCTGCGCATTGAATTTCAACTATATTCCAACACTTGCTCACGAGATGTGTCTCTTCGAATTGTAATGCCAACGACAGAATACTGAAAACATTCTGAGCCGTAAGATTCTTGATCAGATAATTGATACAGTGACTGATCAAAGACGGCACCATATACTTCTTCGCCAAATAGAACACTACCGACACGCTTTCTATATTTAATTCGCATTTATCGGTGTACAAAAAGCTCAAAAATTCTATAAAACTGTCTTTATCCGCATCGGGGATCTCGATACTGTTCGTTTTTTCGGCAATTTCCCCGTAAAACATGGCAAAGAAAACAGGAGAACTAATAGCTAAAACATACTTGTGTGCGGGAATCGGTTCACTTCGACTCGGTTCTTGTTCTTCTCCATCGCCTTCGGCTTCTTCGATTATCACAAAACTGACATCACTCAAAAGGGAATTCTGAAACATCTGAGTGTTTCGCTCGAGCAGAGAGTTGCATTTCAACTGCCAACCGCATGGATCTTCCTTAATAACACTCATTCTTCTTCGATCTCGTAAAAAGAGGCCTTAAAATTGCCCCGAAAACAACAAAATGCCGAATGTAATTTTGCCAAAACTTCGAATCGAATGAATAGAACTTTTGATACAATGAACAATAATCGAAATGGCTTCCTGTTTCCACTTCACCAACAAGAACTTCGTTTGTTTCTACTTCCTGCATGCCGTGATGAGGGCACGGCAAAATTTCCGTATTACTCGCTTGTATGGTAAAAAGCTTCCTATTTTGACTATTTCCTATTTAGGTTACCCAAATTCTGTTTCTATATGGTGTATTACGTAATTAACGGTCGGGCACGCAAATTATTCCAAATGTTTCAAAATCCGTCACCATTGTGTGCGCACAACAAACGTTCCAGTCCAGACTTCGAAAAGTACTTCTCAATCTTTTTTCTTTCGAAATCAATTTCAACCAAGGCTAATTACTGCCGCCTTAATTATAGGACTTATACAATACTTCAAGACCAGCAGTTTTCAAAACTATCACTAAAATTCCGTGTATTCTCTTTTGGAAACTGTTTATTAGCATGACTGTTTAGCTGATTGTGAAAAAATGAATAGTTCAATTTTGGTCATTTTCCTTCGGAATTCAAGAATCTCAATAGTGTATCACCGGGAGACCAATTTATGAATACATGTGGCGCGCCAATATATTTACTCAATCCCCTCCGGAAACCAAGGCCTTCTTCCGCCTAATCTATAAAACACATGGACCTATTATCAATTAACCCTATTGCTCTGTCACGAACGAATTTAAAAAACAAGCAAGAAGCAAGCCACGTTCATGGTACAGTATTCCAAAAAGCGAGGGTCAGTTGTTTTCTTTGATGTTCCGAAACTGAAGCGTTTTCCCCATTATACGCTGGAAAGCCCTGGGAACGAGGTTGGAGAATCCCGCTCTCATAAGCACGCGCATATATGTACTTAAAATCTAGAAATTGCGGGAGCATGTTGAAATATGTACAAAAATAATGTTACTTTTCCATGACTATTCTCATGAGGATTCCGAATTTTGCGAAAGAGAAAGATTTTCATCAGAATTTTGGATTTTGGTTCATATACTTGCGTGCTTATGAGAATCCCATTTTGGTGTCTCATAAGCACGTCATATATATGTATTTAAAATCTAGAAATTGCGGGGCATGTTGAAATATGTACAAATATAATGTTACTTTTGCATGACTATTCTCATCAGGATCCCGAATTTTGCGAAAGAGAAAGATTTTCATCAGAATTTTGGATTTTGGTTCATATACTTGCGTGCATATGAGAATCCCATTTTGGTGTCTCATAAGCACGTCATATATATGTACTTAAAATCTAGAATTTGCGGGAGCATGTTCAAATATGTACAAAAATAATGTTACTTTTGCACGACTATTCTCATGAGCATTTCGCATTTTGCGAAAGAGAAAGATTTTCATGAGAATTTTGGATTTTGGTTCATATACTTGCGTGCTTATGAGAATCCCATTTTGGTGTCTCATAAGCACGTCATATATGTACTTAAAATCTAGAAATTGCGGGAGCATGTTGAAATATGTACAAAAATAATGTTACTTTTCCATGACTATTCTCATAAGGATTCCGAATTTTGCGAAAGAGAAAGATTTTCATCAGAATTTTGGATTTTGGTTCATATACTTGCGTGCTTATGAGAATCCCATTTTGGTGTCTCATAAGCACGTCATATATGTACTTAAAATCTAGAATTTGCGGGAGCATGTTGAAATATGTACAAAAATAATGTTACTTTTACATGACTATTCTCATGAGGATTCCGAATTTAGCAAAAAACAAAGATTTTCCTGAGAATTTTGGATTTTGGTTCATCTACTTGCGTGCTTATGAGAATCCCATTTTGGTGTCTCATAAGCACGTCATATACATGTATGTACTTAAAATCTAGAATTTGCGGGGCAAGTTGAAATATGTACAAAAATAATGTTACTTTTGCATGACTATTCTCATGAGGATCCCGAATTTTGCGAAGGAGAAAGTTGTTCATGAGAATTTTGGATTTTGGTTCATATACTTGCGTGCTTATGAGAATCCCATTTTGGTGTCTCATAAGCACGTCATATATGTACTTAAAATCTAGAATTTGCGGGAGCATGTTGAAATATGTACAAAAATAATGTTACTTTTACATGACTATTCTCATGAGGATTCCGAATTTAGCAAAAAACAAAGATTTTCCTGAGAATTTTGGATTTTGGTTCATCTACTTGCGTGCTTATGAGAATCCCATTTTGGTGTCTCATAAGCACGTCATATACATGTATGTACTTAAAATCTAGAATTTGCGGGGCAAGTTGAAATATGTACAAAAATAATGTTACTTTTGCATGACTATTCTCATGAGGATCCCGAATTTTGCGAAGGAGAAAGTTGTTCATGAGAATTTTGGATTTTGGTTCATATACTTGCGTGCTTATGAGAATCCCATTTTGGTGTCTCATAAGCACGCCATATATGTACCTAATATCTAGAATTTGCGGGAGCACGTTCACATATGTACAAAAATAATGTTACTTATGCATGAATATTCTCATGAGGATTCCGAATTTTGCAAAAAAGAAAGATTTTCATGAGAATTTTGGATTTTGGTTCATATACTTGCGTGCTTATGAGAATCCCATTTTGGTGTCTCATAAGCACGTCATATATGTACTTAAAATCTAGAATTTGCGGGAGCATGTTGAAATATGTAAAAAAATATGTTAGTTTTCCATGACTATTCTAATGATGATTCCGAATTTTGCGAAAGAGAAAGATTTTCATCAGAATTTTGGATTTTGGTTCCTATACTTGCGTGCTTATGAGAATCCCATTTTAGTGTCTCATAAGCACGTCATATATATGTACTTAAAATCTAGAATTTGCGGGAGCATGTTCAAATATGTACAAAAATAATGTTACTTTTGCACGACTATTCTCATGAGCATTTCGCATTTTGCGAAAGAGAAAGTTTTTCATGAGAATTTTGGATTTTGGTTC